AATAGATCGGGCAGGGCCAATCAGAGGTGGTATTTGCCGGTTCTCCAAACTGTTCAAAAATTTCCAATATTGCTTTTCCAGAACTGGTCAGAACCTGCCGAATCCCACCACTGCAACTGGCCTATTTACAAATAAACCCCTGGGCTGTTGCCAGCCATCATTTATGTTTCCTCAGAACACTTATGGGACCCTTGGGCCCTACAGGTGTTTCCAGAAAGAGTGCATTTGGAAAACAGGGCTCTGCTATGCAACAGACAGGTAGCCCTCGACCTATGAACAGTGATGAACCCTGCCCATTAGGGTCACAAGGGATGACAACTATTAACTAAGATGGCCTTGCTTAAAAACTCTCTTCCCCTGCTCTCTTTGATGCCGTGGTTAAGTGAACGTGTCAGGTTGTTAAGTAAGCAAGAGGAACCTCTTAACTTGCTAAATGATGATGATTATACAGGTACTCCTTGAAATATGACCAGTCAGTAACCATTCAAAGGAACGATAGACCCACCATAATCTACATCCTGTATCAATCATACCACAACTTGCAGTGACTCCCTGATCATTCACCCAATCACAGCGATTGCCCCCTATCTCTCTTCTCTAATATCCTGCTCCAACAGGACCTTGGAACATTTGGGCCTGCTCCCATGCCTCCTGGAAGCAGCTGCCATTTTCAGTGCTCTGAAAATTCCTTGCAGAAATGCCAGCTGCTTTTAGAATCTGCAGTGTGTTGTGGGGTCTGTTGGGGCAGGAAGGGTTGGGAAAGAGTCAGGGAGAATGGCAGCATCCCTGCAGTCAGTCACAAGGGCAAATGACCAGGGCCGCCAAGAGGATTATTAAGTGCTGAAACAAGACTAATATGGGCCCCCTCACAAGAGGGAGCCCCTGGCCCGGAGCATCCACCTGAGGGTGGTGCAGTGGCCTCGGCTGGGCTCTTTATGGCGCTGGTGGGGCTGGGGCTGGCCTGGGCAGGGTGTCACATGCAGGCGGGTGTTACAGGCCACTCCTCTCCTGCAGAGAACAGCACACCATAGAGGAGGTGGGGCAGAGTGGCGTGTGCGCGGGGCAGGCCAGGAGCGTGGTTTCTCTCCCATGGAGGGGCCCACCATAGAAATGAAATTAAAATTCAATAAATCACATAAATAACTATTCACTGAGTTTCACATTAATAGTTATGTCAAACAGGGCTGCAAGGTGGTTTTGCTATACACACAAAGTATAGAGTGTGAAATATATATCCAATATTGTTTTTCTTTTTTAAAATTTGGTTTTGTAATTTTTTTTTAAATTCCCCCTTCATGTCCCCCCTTTGAGGTTCATGGGCACCGGAACAATGTACCGGCTGTACTCCATCCCGCTCTCCTCAGGCTGCAAATGACCACAAGGCACTGCAGTTCCCTTAACTTTGAAACAGGTCGTATGTAGATTTTGGAGGATCTGTTGTAACTCTGAATGGCTGTTGTAACTCTGAATGGCTGTTAAGTGACTGGTCATATCTCAAGGACTAATTGTGTAATCATCATCTCCTCATCTGTGACAAGTTAAATAGGGCAAACCCAGAATTATGACTATGGATACTTTGGTTCTCTTCTGGACATCATTTTGAAAACCCAGGATTAAAGCAAGAGGAAAAGAAACCCGTCTTAAACGAATAGTGGGAACCAGGAGAGCAAAGGAAGAGACCTGTTGGAGGAATCCCTGGCATATAGGAAAGAAACATTCAGAAAGCAATGTCAAAAACATTCAGAAAGCCAAGAAGGGGCAAAGATTTTCACTGAGAAAATGGTGCGACGGAAAGAGGGAAGGCTATTCCTCAGGTCTATGGATATATACAAATTCCAGAAATGATCTTACTGGTTTTGTTTGTCTGCTTTTTATCTGAGAAATTCCATGATTTTATTTGGGGAATGCAAAGAGATGAGAGGTCCATTTGTGGATCACATAACTTTGCTAATTTGGCCTTATGGTTAGAATTCAACAAGGAGAAGCGGTCTTCATTTGGAGACATGGCCAGTATATAATGAACACATTTCCCCTCAAAGTCAATCAACACCAACAGGATCCAGCAGCCACCCAGATATTTCCTTTGATCGCAGACCCCAGCCCAGAATTAAACCAGACCTCACTTCATATTCTGAATTAAAAGAGGTTTTGTGCTTAATTAAGCACATCCATTAGACATTAGTTTTATTAAACCCCAGAAAAGTAAGATAAGTTATAGCTATGCTGCTTAATAGCCTTTTTTGCTGCTGCTGCTGCAAAAAAAATCAAGTGGCCTGCTTCTGAATGTTAGCAATAGTCATAGTATTTACACATATACCGCTTCATAGTGCTTTACAGCCCTCTCTAAGCGGTTTACAGAGTCAGCCAATTGTCCCCAACAATCTGGGCCCTCATTACACCAACCTCAGGAGGATGGAAGGTTGAGTCAACCTTCAGCCTGGTAAGGATCAAACTCATGGCAATGAGCTGAATTATCCTGCCATCCTGCATTCTAAACACTGGTTCTTGTTAGACATATTCAAAGTATGATCATGCCCCCTTTCAGTCACTAAACAGTATCTCTTACTTCAATTTCTCTGTTGGTGTTTACCCTCTTATTTAGGACTTGGTCCCAGGGTATCCCTACCTATCCCTTTTGAAATAAATCAGTTTACCTGCTCAGCAGCTTTGTTATTTTCCCCCATCCTGTTTCTCTTCTTTCCTTCCAACTATGCAACTTACAACCACCTACCCCAGACAGTGTAGAGCTGAGGGCTGCACAAGGAGAGAAAGCTACCTGGGCACTGGCACTGATCCAGGTCAGTGGCTTCCCTGACACAGTGTTGGCGAATGTGCCTCCCAGTTGAATGTTTTGGCCCACATAAACTTAACAGGTGCTTCTACGGTGGAGAAGAGGTGAAAGGAATCAGGAAGAGAAGTAGATTTGCACAAAGTGAAATGGCACAAAGGTGAGTTGGAAATGGCATGGACACAGGAGCCCTGCTTGTCCTTGTGGTAGGTAGCATTTATGCATAGTTTCTGCTCACAGCTGAAGTTGCTGAAGAAGGATGACTGCCCCAGAACAGAGAAGTGGTAAAAAATGGTATTCTGGCACACCCACAAATCAGGAAAAAAAAACAATTTGGCAAACAATCCCTCCCAACTCAAGTGATCTAGACAACCAAATTTATGAGGGTATAGTTTTTGCTGACACAAAGAAGATATTATGGTGCGTTAAGCCAGCAGCGAGGAAATGGCCTTCACCTGCCATAACTTGTAAATTGTACTGTGGTCTGGCTCTATTCAGAAATCTTTTCCTAAAATTCTTGTCTTGGGAAAAAAAAACATTCTATATGTGTGTGAGAGAGTTGTGTGTGTGTGTGTGTGTAAATATTACATGAGGAATGTAAATCAATCTACTTGTTTTGTTTGTGAACCCCAAATGCAAGAGTTTGAAAAGAGGGTGGGAGCATGATTCCAGAGTGCCCTAGATATCTAGGCCCAATGTCTTAAAGACATTGTACTATGTATGAAGAAGAGATCACATGGATGCCAATATATTTTCTAGCCTTGATTTGAGTTGTGGCTGAAAATGACACCTTTCTGCACAACCACAGAGCATCTCTCCATAATCAGCTTTGATATGCTTACTTTAGGTTTTCTTACAGGAGTAAACCTCTTTACTCCACAAAGGGCTCTCCTAAAGTTACTCAGGAAAGGAATTGCCTCAAATTTAGTGGACCTCTATGTTTTGAATTGTGTCACTAAACTTCAGAAGTCCTTTTTTCTTTGCCCACCTTATTTTCTCCTAGACCAGTGGTGCAAGTTATTGCCTGTGAAGGTGACTGAATCATAGTTTTAGATTTCCTTAGCTTTCTGAATATTAACATAACTTGACACCCAAGAAAAATCTCAGCAAAAAGCCCAATGATGATTCCATGAAATTGTCATTTAAGTCTTGGAAATATCTTACCAATAGTGCAGGAAGAAATATAGAACCAGGATTGACCCGTAGCCCTTCAACGTTCAATTTGGGGCCTCTAAGAAATGTCCCTGAAATGCCCACATTTCAGCAGCAGGAATTCAGCCTATTTTGAGATTCTGGGGTAGTTTAGGATGGCAATGAAAACAATTTTCCTTGAGAGGGGATCTTTTTTCATTCCTCTGAAAAGATCACATTCAGCAAGTTTGTTGGTAGTCAAGGAGAAAGGAGTTTAAAGAAACATAAGATATAACTATTGCCTTACTGGATTCATCATGTTGAATTTGTCCTGATTAAATGATTAATATGATTAAATGGACTCAGGAACAGAAATGGTATCACTCTTAGTATCCATCAAGAAATAAATGCAGTTGGGACAGGATAGTGGTGCGTCTGCTCCATCTGCACACGATCCCTTACCCTGGAGAGATGATCTAGATCAGAGATGGGAGAATTATGGCACTTTTATGACTTGTGGACTTCAGCTCCCAGAATTCCTGAGCTCAAGAATTCTGGGAGTTGAAGTCCACAAGTGATAAAGGAGTCATAGTTCCCCATTATTGATCTAGAGTGACAGGAATCTTGAATAAAAGTCTCTCACTCTACAATCTTCTGTTGAGTTGGCAGTCTAGCTCTGTAGAGAATGTTACATCTCATGTGGAAAGGAACAGCAGGCTAATATAGGAAACAATGCTGAAAAACAATATTGTGCATTTGCTAGTAGTTCTTTGGCATATCACAGGATGAACAGGTGGAACCAACTTTTACCTTACCTGTATGTTCAGAAACCACCAACAGTTGAATAAGTATAGTATTATCTTCGAATGCCAATGCAAAAGTTGTGGGGTCCCCCCCCCCCATTTCTCAGATTGGAAAAAAAGGTACCAAATGTGTCTGGGCCTATTCCATTTCCCTTCATATCCAGAAATCTTGCTCTTCACTTTCACTCTTTTTTTTTAAACTGTGGGCAATTTGGAGTTGAGGACTCCTATTAAAAAAAAAAAAAAACTGAAGCAAGACAACAGGGCTTCTTTTTAAACTGTTTATTGTATAATATAAAACTACAAAAGTAAGACTGCTCATTTCCATGTAATTTGCCCATTTTTATTATTATTACAGCCCATACCTACAAGTGAATACAGTAATCTGGTTTCAGATGTATATGTCTGTAATATTGCATAGAAAAGGCACAGCTCTAAGGTCTGTTGCGGGATAGGAATGGGGGCAGAGGAGAAAATATCAGCGTTTTGGACAAAAATAAGCCTTGTTTTGAAACAACCATGCACCAATTGTATCCTCCTTTTTACATCTTTCTCTTCCCCCTCCCCTGAAATCTCTGCTTTAAGAGAGTCTTGTATGTTACAATGTTAAGCAACTTCAAGGTTTTAACTTTTTAAAAAAGCCCAAAATTAGCATTAGAATTATTTTTAACATTGGGAAAAAAAAGACGATAAAATGAGTGGAAGTCGTCCCCCCCCCGCCCAAATAATAATTCAGACACGGTATAAGCGTATTAATAAAAGCAAGGTCTTGGATTTTCTTTTTCTAACAATCACAGTTACATTCTAGATCCAATGAGCCATTTTAGGAGGGTGCATGTCCGTTTGCTCACGGTTGTTATTGAACTGTAAACTTTAGATTCACAAAGTCAGGTTGTACAAGACAATCAGGAAAGAAAAAAAAATCACATGGTACAATTTATTCTCATCCTGGCCTCTCCGAAAAGGCAGCCTTATCCTGTCTCTCACTGTAAAGCAGAGCAACTAGCAGGAAGAGTAATGTTGGTGGCAACAGTTTCCATGTGGGAAGCCTCTCTCCTGCAACGAACTGAGAGGGACTTCAGGGCACTTTCCTTGGCACAGTCTACAAAGTGCCCACAAATCCTAAACATTGCCTGCTTAGGCTCTGCTCTCTGGAGCCAAGTCCAGGCTAGACTTTCACCTTGCTTCCCAGCACAGTTGATGTTCTGAAGAAGGGTGGGAAATGTGAATCTGGGGCTTTGAGTCACAGTTCATTCAGCCTATCAAATATTCTTCACTTCCACCCAAGAGACTTAAAATGGCTCCCCTCACAGAATGCTTCAAACTGCAGCATTTTTGCCCAGGGTCTTAAAAGTCTGTTTGAGCTTGTCTAGAAACACTTCCCTAGGAAGGGTGGAGGTTTTAAGATCAGATTTGCCTCTCTGCTGACAGAAGTGTCTTAAAAAGTGGAAACAAGGATCTGAATCCAATAGGAAAGCCTTCCACAAAACTTGTTAGCTTTCAGCATGGCTTACACCACTTACTATGAGGTACCTCCTTATTAATCCTTGGAAATTTGGTGTAAACATTTGCACTGACAAATCTACATTTTGGTCACCTATCTAGATATCCATAGTTGCAAAACCCAGCAGAAATGTGAATGCAAATGCTTTTAATTGATTTTCGATCATATGAACACACTCTTCCATAGATTTTGTCCCATATTAACTTCTACCATGTTTCTCCTAGAGGCCTCCTTATTCAATTTCATATAAGTCTAGGATAATTAATCTGAAAGCTATATAGTAGCTAGCAGATAAGGAGTTATTGCAAATTGTGTCCTACAACTAGCTCTACTCAGACCTAAAAATCAACTTTGTCATGGAGTTCCACATTTTCCTTCTCCTACTGTTTTCTGCATTGCTTTGTTTTCACCTGAGAAGTCTCAATAGGACATGCTACTGGATGCAGGTGTTTATATAAATATGCATTTTTGAAACAGGTTGTGTTCTGCCACTTTACACTCTCTCTGCAGAAGAAAAGGCACACTTAATGTGTAAAGTAAAGGCTAATCTTGCCTTAAGTTGGTTAATGGATTTTAGCACCCCCTCCCCTACTAAAAAATTCCCGTTTTAAGCACTAGCAGCTCAAACTGAAACTGTTTGGGGGGAGGTCAGATTGCTGTGATGTGAAGCTCAGGTTGCCAAAGCAATTGAACTCTTCGGTTGGGAAGCTGCTTTCGCCTTACATCATCTTCCATTGCAAGAAGCCAGCTTGCTCTGCACAGTCTCTCTAGGATGAATCTTGTGGTGCACGCGGCTTCTGTGCAACTTTCAAGGAAGAGGAATCTTAAACCCTCTTCCTTTATTCATCAGCAAACATATTCTTCAGGCTAACATGCATCCTTAGTCAGTTCCAGCTACCAGAGTGAGAGAATATATCACTTTAGGCCTTTTAAGACTGAAATTCTGTATGTGCTTATTCAGGAGTAAGTTTAATTAAACACAGTAAGACTTACTTCCGAGTAGACATTATGCAACGAAGTCTCACTGAAACCAAAGCTGTATTTGACTGTTTGAACTAGGATCTGACCCATTTGAAATACCCAGCGATACCAAAGTTTGATTTGGATAACCAAGTTTATAATTCTGGGGTTTTTTGTTTTTTTTTTGCATGTCCTACAGTATCAAAGTGACTCTCAGTAGAGAAAAGCAGGAGAGGCAGGAGATCTGATGAATGACATGTATTCGGAACAGAACCCAGATAATAATCTCCAAATCTAACTTTCAGTTCTCTCTTGTATGGATTTCACATTCCTACAAGAGAATACATTCCTACCATACATTCTGTACATGTTACAATCCAGATGTTGTTAGCTTCACAATAAAATAAATATATTTACAAAAGAAAAATAAAATGGAATAAATAACTTATGAAAAACAAAATGGAAAAAAAATCACTTCAAATTCAAAACAGCTCTCTTTAATTCTGCTCCCTTCTTGTCACTTCATTGCACGTTTTGTGTCATTAAAAATGTCCCAAGCATTCAAGATGGAATTTGGAGAGTGGGGAAAAGAGGAATTTGTAGTCTGGTAAGTTATATTACAGCGATAGAAGTATTTTAAATTGGCATTTCTGTCAGGCACTCATCATACTGGGGGGTCTCATTCTATGGGGTGGATGCATTATCTGCCACAATCATACGCATTTGTATCATAGAATGTTGCAATCAGGACTGGTTTCTGCTCAACTTTTCAAATGACTTTGCTTTGTATGGCAAGGTTAGCCTTTGGAACACAAACTTACTGTTCCTCCCTAAAAAGGTGTTAATTTCAACTTCTGCCCAACGTGCGGTACTTGTTTACATACTGCATTACCTCATCAAAAAAGGAAAGTATTGTTTCTGGATTACATGTAGAATCAGATTTTGATCATGGTAAATCTTGTTTGTTTCCTTTTTTTTCTTGACATTTTAATTTTAATTTAAACCTAGACTGTTCCAGCAAAGGCTTGGGATGCTGCCATCCTGATTAACTGATTAAAATTAAATTGAGTGTTTTCTAGCATTGCATGTATCTGCACCCAAGATTACCCTAATTTACTAATAACATTATCAGCAAGTATCTTATATCATCTTTTTACAGTATCTGGCTACCCTACCTAGTTCTGCATAGATCTGGACAACCAAATGGTGGAAGCAAAGATAATTCTTTCTGTATGTGTTTGCTACAATTTAGTGGTATTTTGGATTTCTGCATCCCAGATTGAAAAAACCTAAATCTTCTCAAATACACAAATTCCTAATGAAACTATAATTCAGTGTTATTTTATACAACACCAGCCATATTCCTAGTGATTACCAGACTAACAAAAGAAAAAAGATCCTTGTTCAGGGCATTTTGCAATCTAAATCGGTTGTTATAACTTCTAATTAAAACATTTGAATATGCCAGCTCTCTTTTTCTTCCCCACAATAGGAAGAATTGGGAAAAATATGCTTGGTTACAAAGGTGAGCAACTTCAAATTATAACTATACTGTTATTTGAATGAAATAAAACTTTTCAAGATAGCAAAACATGATTAAAGTACAAGGATTTAGTTGATAATTTGGCATGGCATATTTAGTGTAGGCATGCAGCACTCTAATTACCCAGATAGTTTGGAAACAAATGAAAAACTTTTGTGTGCATTGTATATAATAAATTACATGCATTTTCAATAAATATGTATGGCCTGTTCTAAAGTGCCAGTTTATAAAGCTGCCATCTTAAAGGCAGAAAAGACCCAATTTTTAATAATCCATGACAAGAAGTAAGCAGAACCAACTGAATATTGCCAAATTACATAAACATAATTTAAATTTTCTTAAATAAATATAAACGTTATTCCTAAAGAAGCCATATGCATATCAACAGTATAGTTTGTAACCTGCACTCAATTAAGTACCATTTAAAATTAATATGCCATAGCAATCTCGGCAACAGGCATGATAACATTGCAAGTTTTCTTTAACACAAATGTACATCACAATGAACAGAGAGAAAATTGCAACAGGTGCAGAAATGAGACGACTTAAGTGGGGAGGAAACATGCATAGAAGATTGCAGTTTCAATACATTGTCCAACAGGCCATATAAAGTATAAAGCAAGGAACAGAGTAGAATCAAGAAACCAACTCCCCCCAAAGATACCAAGTGTTCAAAGCACAACTAGCTCCAGTTTTAAGAGCAATGGATACTTGAGTGAGTCCATCCAGTGCTGATAAGAGATGATTTCACTGCAGTAATACTGAAGTTAGATTTTGTTTTTCAGCACTTGCCAACAGAGTGAATTAGAATATTAATATTCCAAGCAAAGGGCAAGAATCATCGTAAGAATGATTAGAAGAAAAAAGGTATATAAGAATTATACTGTCACAGAGACAAAGGGCCTTTTTCCACTTGTGATCCTAAACTCAATTCTTGGAAGGAAATCTCCACTGATTTCAACGCAACTTACTTTCAGGCTTTAAACAAAATAAAAACCCAAAACAATTAAACAAAACAATCTGCTACGGCTACAACATGCTTCTGGTAACTGCCTCAATTGTGACGCTCTAAAACTAGATGCCATTAATATGGTAATACCTCAAGAGAGAGTAAAGTACACCAAAGCTCATCCATTTCTACTGTTTGAATCTGAATGGGGCACTCTTATCAATTGTGCACTCTGTCAACTGCGTTTACTGAAAAGATATTTCTAGGAAGACAACTTTCTCACCAGGAAAGCTGTAAAATATTAAAAGGCTGAGCTCAATAGACTTAAGGACACACTAGTCTGTCAGACGAAGGATGGAATCTGTTTTGCAAATTTTAAAAAAGCTTGGTTTGAGGAAATATATTTTTATTTCTTGATCCTTATTGGAATGAGGGAAGGGAGAACAAGGGAGTTTCATCAGAATAAAGTTTCACAGCTATTTCTTGCCAACTGTTTGACATCAGTGTTGGAATATACATGGCTCTAAGGTTTTTGTTAATCACAGTAGTAGGCAGCAGGGAGTAAATATCTGTGAAACTTTTAAGGGAAGAGCCCTTGGTCTTTTCCTTCAAGCATGGGTGTCTGGATTCAGGGAGGCCAGCTGCAGACTGATTTGATCCAAACTTCTCTTTGCACCATTATATGCATATATAAAACACTACAAGTCTGTATAAAACTACAAGCAGTTCTCGTACATCAGAAGGTATATGCAGGAATGGGGTGAGCAAATCCTACCAAAATAACTATTTCCTTTTTTGTGTGTATGTGAGTACAAACAGCATTTTGTTTTGTTTCTTTTTCTTTTTCTAAGAAAAAAACCCAATATCATAAATTGCAGAATCTATACAAAAATATAAAATAAATTTGGATAGCAGTTTCTAAAGAGCCATGTAAATGCAACATTTAAAGAGGAATCATTAATACCTCTAAAAAGGCTGGATTGCTAAGTCAACCTAGACAGTGCTAAAATGCCAAAAAGGTACTGCAATTATCTAAATAATATTTTAACCTCTTGCAATAAAACTTATAGAAAAAATAGACAAATATGCACATGCAATTTACAGCTTTTTCCCAACATAATCCTTGTGCTTAGCTTTTACATTTTTTTTGTCAAACATATTTATGTTTTACAATATGCATTTTCTTCCTATATTAGGATTTCAGGTCTCCCTTGAGGAACCACTTTCAGAAATACATTAAAAGTGGTCATACATGAATGAAGGCACTCCAACTCTGCTTGAAGCAAAAACAAGTATGATCCTTTAAAAAAAAAAAGACAAGCAAAGACGCATGCACAGTGGTGTGTGTATTTGCGTGCGTGCATATATGTGTGTGTCTATGTGTTTCTTGGTAGGTCTGGAAGGAGAGGGGGCCTTGTGAAAATACTACCAAGGGTTTATACTGGTGCATTTAAAAAGTTGCTATCGATCTATGACCCAACAAGCACCTCCATGATGTGATCCAGTTCTGTAAGGTCCATTTTGAAAGGCTGATTGGGGGTTACTGGCTGGGTACTGTAGGGTGCCAGAGTTTTGAGGAGGTCATCTGCGGAGACAGGAGCCATTTTTGAGGCAGCCCCTGTAGAGGATGTGCAAGGGTCAAAATCATACATAGACGTATCAATGTCTGCAAAGAGAATATCATCCAGGGTCAAGTCTGTAAGAAAACCTGTAGAAGTTGTGATCTCAAAATTGCCAGGTAACGAGTCCATGAGTTTAGGCTCACTCATTCTGCTCTCCTGTATCGCCTCAGGCTTTTGAATGCTGGATTCACTGGAATTCTCCTTAGAGTTATCTGGTGCAGTTGTATCTGCTGCTGCTGTAGTTACTACTGCCTCAGCGGAGGTAGGTGTTGGACAGAGCTCCTCGATTTCATCCAAGGCTGAGGAGAAGCTGTCCTTTACTGGTTGGATCGTTGGAGGTGGTAATTTTGGAGGACCATCTAGTGAGATGGTCTGGGAAGTGCAAAAAGTGTCATCCTCAAGCAGAGAGGCAGGGGTGAGGCAAGACTCCAGTGGTGTAGGGCTTGCTAAGTCAGTGGGGTGGACTGGCGGAGAGGCCAGATGGCTAAAGGCAGGCTGAGCTTCTCGAAAGTTGTCTCCAAGAGGATCTGTAGGCTGTGATGGGGTGAGGAACATAGGCCTCAAGCTGCCTTCCTGTTTGAGCTCCTCTTGTATCCGCCTCAACATGTTGTTAATTAAAACGGTCTTTTGCAGGCTCGGCTCTGTTAAGGGCCTGTGGTTATAAAGTTTCATAAGGGAAATGTTGAAGATAGTCTGGCGCTGTAAGGTGTAAGACACCTTAGATGGACCATCGGTAGGAGACACCATTTTGCCTTCCAGCCCATCTTCATGCTCATCAAACTTCCGTTTTCCTCCTTTCCCCAACATATATCTGAAAACAGAAGAAGAGAAATATTCACTAGGATAGAACTATCCATCGGTATTGTAGTCACTCTAGTTCAGTCTATTCCAACCTGAAGCCCTTGAGACGTGTTTATAAATATTTTTCTCTGTAAGCTGTAGTCCCAACATATTAGAAAGGACCAGATATAGGAAGCTGGCTCACAATCATTTTAAGAAAACACAAAGAAAACAAACCCAAGTATTGTAAATTCATTTATCTTGCTTTCAAAAAAAGTCATCCAACTATTTAATCAACCTGTCAGTTGCAACCAAACAGTGAACTGGAAACTGAACCAAGACCGTAATCTCAGAAAAACTGATGGATGATAGAGATAGATGCAAAACTATCACAGTAAATAATTAACAGAGTAATAGTAATCCTGCACATCGTTATTTCAGGCCAGTCCTAAGACTTTATAATTCCAATCCACCAGGAATAGAAAGAGCAGGATGTGAATCCAAGAGATTCTTCTTCTAACTCTGGGATGGCGAATCTATGGCATGCATGTCGGAAGTGGCACGCAGAGCCATCTCCGCCGGCACGTGAACCGTCGCCCCACCTCAGTTCCACTGCACATGCATGTGCGCCTCCCGGCAGCCAGCTGATTTGGGGGTATCTGCCGCGCATGTGCAGGGAGAGGGGCACATGCAGGAAATGCATGTGCATGCGCAGGACATTCTCCCTCTCCCCAATAAATTACACCCAAGGAATAAGTAAAAAAGACACCCATCCAGGAAGTCCCTAAATAGCAACAGGCTTATATACTGCTTCACAGTGCTTTACAGGCCTTTCTCAGTGGTCAGCGTACTGTCCCCAACAATCTGGGTCCTCATTTTACCCACCTCAGAAGAGTGAAAGGCCGAGTCAACCTTGAGTAAGTGAGGATTGAACTCCTGGCAGTGAGCTGAATTAGCCTGCGATACTGCATTTTAACCACTGGGCCACCACAGCTCTAATACAATGACACTCCCAACTATTGTATCATAAATAATAAATAATTGCTAATTAAAAACCACACTCCTGTGACCCACACAACAGCAGAAATGCTCAAGAAGTTCAAATCTTCAAATGCAAATGAAATGTGAGAGTCCATCTGAATTCGTGGCTTTCTTGAATGTCACACGAGAGCAAGAGCAGGAAATGCCTTTCACATTATGGCCACATGTCAGAGCCAGCTACAGTGTGAATGTAAAATAGCCCTGGAGGTTCCAGGCCTGGCCCGTTCTATATTCTTCCCATCAGTCTTTTAACAAATTGGTCATATAAAATGAAGGAATTTTCCAGCTCCGAGAGTTACGGAGAGAGAGAATGCTGGACTGAACCTGGTTTCTATTAAGACAGCAGGAGTTTTTCTGTGATGATTATGGAATGGGGTTTCTTTTTCTAGCCTGGTTCTGCTAAAACTGCACATCACTGCCCCATGATATTGAAGGAGCCCCTATGCCCCTCCCTGGCCCGCGACTCAGGGAAGTGAAATACTGGGGAAACTGGCAAGGATGCCCCCTGAAACAACAGGGCCTCAAAATCAATCCATGTGAACACCCATCACTGAATTAATTCTAAATATCAGTAGGAGTTACTTGGGGATTTTATGTTCTTCATGTTCTTTTGTATATAGCCACAAAAGAAGGACTATGTTGCACCTCATAAAAAGTTTACAGGGGCAAGAAGCAGGTGCCTCTATCTGCATTATACCACAACACCCCAAACCAGCAGGTGTTTAATAGTAGGTTTATAACTGATGCACAATGTCTAACAACTTTAAAAGTTCCCCCAGAACCAGTGAAATAATCCATAGCAGCAGTACCATGCAACTACCCAACCTACTCATCTCCGGGGGAGATGAGTCGCCCTACCGAGATAAGGTGGACCGGTTGCTTTCATGGTGTGGAGACAACAACTTGGTCCTCAACACCAATAAGACCAAGGAGCTTATAGTGGATTATAAAAGGAACAGATCAGACATCCAGCCCTTGCTTATCAATGGAGACCGAGTGGAGCAAGTGGCCACTGCAGAGGGTACACTGCAGCCCTGATCAAAAGGGCCCAGCAGCGATTATACTACCTGAGACTTCTCAGAAAACAACTGAATGGAAAACTCCTGGTAACCTACTACTGCACCATAGAGAGCATTTAAACATACTGCAACCTCTGTATGGTTTGCCAATTGCACAGTGGCAGATAGGAAAGCACTCCAGAGGGTTAATGTCATTGCCCAGAAGATCATTGGTTGCCCTCTCCTCTCTTTGGAAGAGCTTTATAGCTCCCGTTGCCTTAAGAAAGCTCAAAACATTCTCAAAGATCCATCTCATCCTGGGAACCCCTTTTTTTGAACTATTACCATTTGGCAGACGGTACAGGATAATAAAAACAAGAATAAATAGGTTGAAAAACAGCTTCTATCCCAGGGCAGTAGCTCTTTTGAATTCTGCTGTATAGTGCAGTGTTGGTGTGGTGTTGGGGGTTTCTAGTTCAATGTGTGAAAGGTGAAGGATGTGTTTGTGTTTATTTTCATGGTCATGGTCATGATGTGCACTGAAGATGGTGTCTGATTTCGTTGTATGAGGTGCAATGACAATAAAGCAATCTAAAACTAACTAATCAAATAAATAAGAATCATGAACCTTCCCATCCTCTGCTTCACTATCTAATTTCAGTTTGCTATGAAGATATATCAATAAATCACCTATGAGATCACCACTTCTTAAGGGCACATTGCACAGGTATACAGCAGTCTTTAAATCTATAATACTCCCATGCACACAATCCTTAATTTGGATCCAGTGTGTATATGAAACTTTTGTCATAATAAAAAAGGAACAACTAGAAAAGATACGCAAACGATCAACATATTCAAGGGAATAAAATTCACATGGGCAGAAGAAAACACCAACATCACACTATCCTTCCTGGATATCCTTATCAGCAGAGGGAATGATGGCAAATTAGAAACACAAGTCTATCATAAAACCACCCACACTAACCAAGTGATCCACCTCAAAAATGCTATCAGTGACAATGTTACCTTGGCAGGTAATGAACACCTGCTTGAAAACAAACTCAGAAAGCATCAAGGACTCCACAGTTCAACCCTGTGCTACAGACATTCTTTTTCATTGGAACTTAAAAGGCATACAACATGCATGATTCTGAATTACTTGCCTACCCACCTAGCAGAGCCCTGGGTTTCTTTCCCATCTCAAATACAGCTGCCTACTTCATATGTGGTGGAATGTTTCTTAAGCTCCAACTATCACAGCTAGAACCCCTGGGCTGTTAAGTTTTTTTTTAAAAAAACTATCTCAACTGAATAAGGTACCTCAACCTTGGAACTGCAGCTGTAAAAGTTCTCTCTGGAATTATTCCAAAGCAGAAAATACAAGCACGCACAAAGCATTCCTTCAACTGCACACACCCGCACGTAGAATAGAAATGAAAATAATTATGAAAATGCTAACCTGATAGCATATAAGAAATACAAAATGTCTATTGCAAGTAGAGGGGAGAATAACAAGGATGTTAACTGTAATATTTTTAGCACTGACTTATTAATTTTGTTGAGATCTATAGGCTTCTTTTCAATTAAAAACTCTTCACAAAGCAATTTATAAATTAAGCATGCAAAAGCTGAGTCAACGCTGAACTAAACAACAACAAATGAAAAATAACATCCATTCCACATATCCGGGACCAACACAGATAAGAGGCTCTAGTTCAGGGGTGTCAAACTTGATTTCATTGAGGGCTGCATCAGGGTTGTGTTTGACCTCAGGCAAAGTGGGCATGGCCAGGGTGGGCATGACCAGTTCAACGGCGTTTATGTTGGGGGCACCTGTGGTATCCCGAACACTCTGCCTGCATAAACGGGTTCCCAAGCTCAGTTTTTGGCTGCAATCGCCTCCTGCAACCCTCTGTCAGTGAAAATGGAACTCAGGAGAGCCACCCATGGTCTTTGGCAAGCACCGTTTTTGACTGCGACAGCCCATTGCCCTCCCGAGCTGCGTTTTCACTGGCAGAAGCACTGCAGGCCGATCCTTTGTTGTTTCCAGGGTGCCCCCTCCAGGCCAAATCTAAGCACCAATGGGCTGGATATTGCTCCTGGGCCTTGAGTTTGACACCCCTACTCTAGGTGTAGAACAGATTTTATTGCTCTTATGGAATATGCAAAAAAAAAGTTAAGATTCTAACTCTTATCACTTAATTCATGCAACTTAATATTCCTACAATCTTAATATTTCTACATAGAAATCAAAAATAGTGTCAGTTATAGTTTTGGACTGACTTTCTCATGCTCTATTCATTCAATAGAGTAATAACCTTCACTGGGTAGGCTGTGGTCCCCAACCTTTTTGGTGCCGCGGCCTGGTACCGGCATCAGCACGCATGGCAAGGCGAGCCGAGCGACCGGCTAGCCAGCCGTCCTCCGCTTCTCCCCGCCACCTTCAACTCCTCCTTTGTACCTGTGTCGATGGGCTTTGCAACAGCTTTGGGACGGTCGCTCGGCTCGCCTTGACATGCCTGCTGAAAGAATCCTCGCGCCTTAGTTTTGTTCGAAGCCACCCCCCCTCGATGAAACTAAGGCACGAGGATTCTTTCAGCACCCAAACGCCGCTTTCTACCCGGAAAAGCTCACCGGAAGCACTTTTTCATCAAAACAAGATGGCGGCGCCCAGCAAACTGGCGGCCTGGTAGAAATTGTTCCACGGACCGGTCCCGCTCTGGGGACTGGTGGTTGGGGACCCCTGGGGTAGAGAACCAAGAATCTACTTTACAAACCTAAGGTATTTTAGACTGTACAGCATTAACACATGACAGTACTAACTTTTATATATTAGATTTTTTTTAAAAAAAGGTAAAGGGGTCCACATAGTCAAGACTGACTTTAAAGGGCAATGCTCATCTACATTTCTTAAGCCAAAGAGCCAGCAGTCATGTAGCCAGCAGGACATCATGTTGCAGCACAGACCCTATGGCAAAACATGGAACAG